AAGAGAAAAAATATTAGGTTCAAAAATCTAAAACAATATGTACTTAATTAAACTAAATTTTATTGGATTTAACACAAATGTTTCCACCTACAAAGTTTTAGTATTAAGAAAATATGGATTTGGGTAGTTTTAATGGAATATAATTTCCATACACGTATTTGCAAATCTCATTATTGAACTGTTTTTTCCGAAGGGCAAACAAGACAATGTAGTTGAGAAACTCTTCGCTAGTTTAATCATCCAAATTTATTAGTTTCACTACTGATAGGGTTGGGTACATATAAATTTAATTAACTACAATTAAATATTATAACAATTATGTATTTTTCAACTGAAATTCATAACAAGTATTGGAAATAGATAATGAAAAAATCACCTGTATTAAGATAAATTATAAAACATTGTTTTTTTAAGATTAAGATTAAGTACATGAACTTAACATATTTACTAAATTCCCATGTCTTACATTTTTATCATATAAGGTCTATTATTCTCTTATTAGAGACAAATAATAAAAAATATACTTGAATACAGTATGGACTATAAAATATAGTCTAAGAATTCATAAATTTGTTAAAAAAAAAAATTACAGCAAAATGATTATTAAATCAAATATTTTTAAATTTATGACATCGTCGTGACCGTTCTTGTATGTGCTTTTTTTGAAAAACAAATAAAACTTGCAGAATAATCGATTTGTCAACATAAGTAAGCTAATAATTTGTATATAGTTTTAAAACTCTTAAAACTATCGATAAAATAATTATTTAATTTTAAATTTAAATAATTATTGCCTTTTTAGACTATGTTTAAAGCATATTTTTTTATTACTAATAAGAAAATAATATGTGTATAAAGATGGTGGATGTAGCTCGTACTGGTGTATATTTAAACCAACCCCCCCCTGTGACTGTCGGATACACATCTGATAAATGTGCTATCGATGAATTATAAATTAATTTGGTAACACCACTATTACTATTATTGCCTCCACCGGATGCAAGAAGATGGAAAACGAGTATCTTGGCCGTCTATCAACGCTACATCTGGCACATTACGTTTTGTTGTAAAGTGTGCGGTAGTTGTATGACACTAAGTTTCTAATAGACAGTTTTTTACCTGTGTTTGCATTGTCGCCGCCATTTTAGCTCGTTTTGATTCATGGCATATCATACATACATGTAGTTGTTAAAAAACTGATCTATCGCCCTTACTATTCCCGCATTCTTGTGCGTTAGTGTTCACCGCCCTTGCGGTACATTCATGATTCTGTACATTAATAAATCGCCTTCGTAATTATTAAGTATTCGTACATTTTTAACTACTGTTCGCGTGACAGTACGTTTTACCAGGTTTATTTGTCTTATCAACGACTTTATTCGCCTTGCGTTTAAATCAATCGGCCATCCTCATCATTATAGATTATTATTTATTTATCCAACCCAACCCACATTGATTTATACATACAGGCTGTCCCAGCATTTACTGACATTAACTTGATCCAGTTAATTTTGTTGGCTAATTTTTTTTTTTTTAATAGTTAATATACTTGAGGGCTATATTAAAAACGTAATTAATATCATTTTTATAATTAAATAAAAAAAAATTTATTTTTAAAAATGTACGAAAAGTATTTTAAAAAATTTCAAAATAGCCATTTTTTAGAATAGATTAAAAAAAAAATCCTGTTAAAAATTTTTTATTAATATTTGGTAGTTAATTTTTTGAAACATTTTAAATGTTGTAAAAATTTGAATTTTCTGAATTTATTCTACAGTATCAAACGCTGGAAATGTTTTAGAAAAAAGAACAGAAGTAAATAACATCTTTTTCCATTAAATATGTTATGAATATGGATTTTTCCATGAAAATTACTAATATTTTAGTTCAAATAAAAACACGAACAATACTATTATTTAATAAGTAGTGTTATCTCTTTAGAGATAAAACTACTTCTAACTAAATTGTAATTTATTTATCTCGAGTCAAAATTGATATTATATTAAGTATATGGTCTATTATATTTACAAACTTGGTATTAATAGGATTATTTGATAAGTCAATTATCAAATAATTCGTGAAATAGTACACTGCATTGGACTAACTTTCAATATTTCCTTACACTCATACCTAATGGAATTGAAGTCTAAATAAGTAAACCAATTAAATAACTTTTCTTGTATTTAAATATAATGTAATTACTGCAGATACTTTTGTGTAAATTTATTTATTCTGTGGTAGTACTTGTAATATTATTAAACAGTCAAGCGTAAGTAATTTTCATGGAAAAAGTGACACACCTCCAACTTACAGTATACATAAAATATAGTGTTTTCTTCTGTCCTTATCTCAACACGTATATCAATGTTTAATACCGTAAAATAATATATGAAAATTCAAATTTTCACAAATTTTTAAATGATACGGACTATTAAATAGTAAATTTTACCACTGAATATTAATAAGATATTTTTTTTCCTTATTTTCTTAAAATCTACTATACAAAATAGATATCTTGGATTGTTTTTTTTAATTTTAATTAATAATTAATATTTTTAATAAAATGTAAAAATATAAATTATTGAGATATTATTATAGACCTAACGTATAAGTGTTAAAAACGTTGCGTTCATACAAATTCTGTTCATTTAAATGCTTGTAACTCAAGAGTACTAATCCTAAAATTCTTTTAGACCCATCAAATATTTTTTAAGAAAGAAACTATAAAACGTCCATTTTTAAATTAAAAAGAAAAATTATTTTTTTTATTTTTAATAACTGATAAAGATAAAAAATATACATTATAATATAAAAAAAAATTTTCAATAATAATTAATGGATTAAAAGTTATAATATTTGTTATATAGATCCAGTTCATCCTGTATTATGTACAAAATATGATATATAATATATATTATATATTATATAGTGAAGTTAGAGACAATTAGTGATTAAGCTTTGTATAAAAAAACATTAAAACAAAAGAGGTAATTGCTTTTTAATAAATTGATAATCAGAAAGAAATTTTTATAAAATATATGAAAAGTTCACGGGCAAATAAATAAAAATTACTGTTTTATAAAATCTTATAAATGCATTTAATCAATAACATTTTCCTTTAAAATTACTCAAAGTGAGGACTTTCAATTTTATATTTATATTTTTGTGTATTTCAAGTTTTTCTTAATGCATATTTCTCATGTTTTGTAACTCTTAACATTTAAATTACTCACTTATATTCAGTATGTTTCGTGAAGTGAAAAAAAGATACCCATTTATGCACATTTAACATGCATTTTTAGTAAGTTTAGCAGTTTTCATATCATTAGTTCTATTATATTTTTAGATGGATACACATTTTTCACAGTAAATAGTGTGTATAACAGCATGTATCTCTTTGAGAAATAAGTGTTTTATATTGCTACATAATAATAATGAATAACTTTTATTTTTTTTATTGTTATTTAAAATCGCTACACTTTTAAAGAATGTAATTTTCCATTGACAAAAACAAATTACACACGTGAAATTTAATATTAATTTCAAACACCACTATAAAAATTTCTAATTAAATTTTCGAATAGTTGTTTAATACTTGAAACGACTCTGTTAAACTTTATATATCTTTATTAGCTCTTTTTTCACATGTAATGAACAAAAAACATTGATTTTACTAAATATATTATTCAATATAAGATGTATGATATTTGTATAATTTTTCAAATTAATCTAGTTCGGATAATTTGATTAAAATAAATTAAGAATTAATTTTTGAACATTAATCAACACATTTTTACTTATATGTCATCTTAACTACCTAAAAAATATACACAAGCAAATAAATATACAGTTGTTTTATTTATAAAACAATTAAAGGTAACAAGAATGTGTGAAATAACTCATTTGATTATTGAGTAATTTTACTTTCTATGACTAGTTAAAGTTTAGCTAGTTGCATGTATACTGTGCATTACTAAAATAGGCCATGAATTACTTGCATTAGAACTTATAAGTACTGAATTTTTTTTATATTAATAGTTATTATAAAACAAGAAAATATTTTCAATTTATTTGCTTAAAAATTAATTAAAAATTTCAAGCTGTATTATAAATAATGATAAATCCAAATTTTTTTTTAATACATTTTTGTTGATAAATGCAGTTTTAAAATTTACAATATAGCCTAAACTTTTTACTTGGCATCATTATCAAAACTATATACGTTTTACATTTTGTTTTACAATTAAAATGTCATTATTATTTCACAACGTTACAAATAATAATTAACAAGATGTTTGATATTTTTTTATAGAAAGAAAAAAATATATAATTTGTATTTGTAAAAGAACAAAGAAGTCATTCAAGCTAATATCTTAATTAATTGTATTGGGACCTAAAGTTGGACGATTATTAAAAAATACTGGAATATTATTTGATCAGTTTTTGAATGCTGTATCCAAAATATAAAACACAGTAAATAATACAATAAAATAATATAGAATTTAAAACGGACTGCTAATAATCTCTGTCATAATTTTAATTTCTAGAATACTCCTCACGAACAATCCATGAGAATAAAACATGAGCACTTATCCAAGGCTACACATTGTACTTTAACCGATTAAAACTATTGTTTTTCAAAAATTAAATGAATTTAATTGTAATGTTTTAAAAAAAATATTGTGTTTAATTTCGTGGGCTATTTATACTAAAAAATTCTAATAACAGACATATTTTAGTTAATTACAAAGGCAATAGATTTAGAAAGCATAGAACAGAATAGTTTTAAATTGTAGATCTCGATAAAAAATTTGGAATTTTAAAATTCCACCATTATTATGCATGTCAACAATAGATTGCCTGCTAAAAATTATCAAATAATGTACCTTTATTTGTAATCCCAAATATAAACATAATGTATTAATATTTAATGGTATATTATTATATTAGAAATGTATTTCATTTAAACACTTAAAATATTAAAAACATAAAAAACTCACCTATTTATTTGCTGAATAACCAGCTACTTCAGATCTTAACATTTTTGAGTTAACTACATTCAACTGTAAATAAGAATAAAAATAAAATGAAGCTTAAAACAATTATTTTCATTGCTAAAATTTTGTTTAATGTTGATTGTTTAAGGGACATTATGATACAATACATAGATCTTGCAGCTACTATGTAACCTTATAAAAATTAATTTACCAAAATTTACCTTAGTTTCGAAAATTATGTCTATAAACATTTTGCTTTATTAAAATATGAATAAAATAATGGAATGTTTATATACCTTTATAAACTTTGTATTACGTTAAAAATATTCTCTAAGCAATCAATTTTATTGATATTTTTAATATAAATTAATTTAATTAATATTTAAATAAAATTTGCTACAGTTATCTAAGTAGTAAAACGTTAACGGTTATTATACTTTAGTTATTTTCACCCTTAACTATTATTTTCGTTTCTTTCTATTAAAAACTATAATTGATCTTTATTTTAAACTGCACCACATTAAATATTTAATAAAGCGAAAACCTTATTGTCATAGGCGGAATGTAGAACAGATGAATTACTGCTCCAATTTTAAATGACTTTTTATATTTTTCTTAGATAATATCTTGGCTAATAAATAGTTTCACAGTTAACAACTAATTAAGAAAATATAGACTAAATAGCAAACTGAGGCAAAGATTAAAAATTCACACTTCTTATTTACATAAAGTTTGTGAAATTTTTTTACATGCTTCAACATAATTATTAACCACTGAAATCTTATGTATATAAAAATTTCGTGATACATCATATCATAAGAGTACCAATATTGCCTACACAATACGCCGTATTAAAATTCTATGCCAATCTTTATTTCAAAAGAAGTAATTAATAAACATTACCTTTATATAGTTGAAATGATGTTTAACAAGTAACTGAATTGAAATTATGATAAAAATGTTATAAGTTCTATTTGATTTGTGCTATTATTAATTTAAAAGTGTTGCAATTTAATAAGTTTGTAAACTATGTAATTGCTTCTTGTTTTTAATTTATATTGTTCAAATCATTTTAATTTAAAAAACACAGGACATTTTACAAGTATTTTTCGTTTTGGCGATTCAATTAAATTATTTTAAACCAAAATTACTCACAAAAAATTAATAAAAGTCAAATAATTAAATTTATGCAAAAAAGTTATTTTTAATTTTAATAATAATTTCAACATTATGAAAATATTATTTATTGATTTTTTTAGTTAATGACTGTTTATTCAATTGGTTTCCTTTGCTTAATAATCACAAATCGTTTTAGATATTTTAATTTAAATATAAATAAATAATACACAACGCATTTATTATTATAACTTTCAATAATTTTACTGGATTTTAAAGCGCATATATTTTTATAAAAGACTCAAGTAATTATGTATAAAAATATATTTTAAGAGAGTCTAATTTAAAATAAAACATTTGTTTTGAGTATTACATCATTATAAATATGTATTCTTCTGTCAAATAGCCAATTTTTCAAATAGTTGGTGCCAAGATTGATACAAGTAGTTTACAAAAGTTTCTGCATGAAAAGATGAAGTATCAAAAAATTAATTTAAATAATAAGGGCTATATTCAAAAAAGTTGTTCGATTTTCAAAGAGGAAATCCTGTATATGATATTTATTATTATATGTATAATATGAAGCGAATTTATGACGGGGATAGACGTATTATTCAATAAAGAACAAATAAAAATGGTGTGTGCGTGTGAACGATACTTATACGACTTTATTTTTTTAATTTTGGTGTTTCAAACTTTACCTATGCTTACATAGTTACATCATAGAAAACTTTAAAATTATAGGGACCCATACTATAACGCGTGTTAACTAAAAGTGAAATTTGTGTAGTTTTCAATATAAATTAAATAATTATTTATTTCATTAATTCTACAATTAATAAATTATTTATTATTAATAAAGGAAAAATCTCAACACAGTGGGTAGGTGGTATAATTGAAACAAATGTAGATAATATCTATTGGTGATTCAAATCACTATCATGAAAAACGCTTTGATGTAAATCTGTAGATAGTGTATAATTTTTAGTAGGAATCGTTAAATTTTTACAAAAACATATCAATGCCTCTTTTCTTAATTTAATTTTGATTAAAAGTTTAATGACTTATAAAGTATAATAGAAAAATAAATAATTATTATACCATATAAATTTAGTATAATTATGTTTTAATAATTTATTATTGTAATTTTTTCGAATAAATTAAAATACATATTAAAGTATTTGTGGAATTCGCTTACTTAGCAGAATACTTTCTTGAATACTATATGAATACTTATTTTTATAAATCGAACCAAAAAAATAATTAATGAATCTGAATCATGCGCTTTATATTGTCTTCAATATTAAAGGAATTTGAGAGGTATGAATTTATTCTAAATACCAACAATTTGATGTAAGACATAAATTTTCACTTAATAATATTCAGTAATTTTGTAATTTATAACAAATATAGAATTATTTTGTAAAACCAAAAATATTTTACAATGTAAAATATGAATACTTAAAATATTCAAAGATCAATTTTAATTCTATAGGGCTGAGTAATGTATTTTATTTTGGAATTGAATTATAAAATTATTTTTTTTATTTGATATAATGATTGAAAAAAGTATTCCTAGAAGTATTAGAAAAAGTATTCAACCCAAGTATAAGAGTTTTTCACCTCTATGTCGAACGTGTATTAAATTTGTTACTATAGATTTATATATAAAATAAAAGTAAAGTAAATTTTCTTGATTATTCTAACTTCTATTAAATGATTATCATCCCAGTTATGAAATTTAAATTTATTTAAACCATAGCTAGTATATATACATTTTTTTTTTTTTGAATTGATAGTCCCATTATTTTTAATATACTTATTGGATTGATATAAAATTCTCCATAAAAATATTTGTAACCAGCGCTTTTATCTATTATTATTATTTTTATTATTATTAGTGTTATTATTATTTTTTTTATTTTTTTTAAATTTAGTACTTACACTTTACTCTAATTTATTATACTGATTCATCTAAAATATCGACATTGATGATTGAATAAAAATTGAAATAGAGAATTATAATAACACGAAATATGGTGATATTTTACATCATGAACATATTTTTTGTTTAATTTGAAAAAAAAAACAAAAATAAGTCCTCCTGAAAAATGGAAAGAAAATTAATTTTTTAACTTAAATTATATAATATAACCTTCAATTTTACATTAAAATTAAAGATTTTTAAAATTCAAAGTATAATCAGAACATTTTCAAAATTTAAATATGCCTAAATCAAGTAAATAACTAAAAAATACTTCGAAAAGAAAAAGGACAGGCGATATATTGGTTCTTTTCCAATCTAGGTTTCGAAAATTAATTTTAAATAAAATATATTGATTATTAATTTACATAAACTTATTAAAATAGTTATCAAAATTGTAAAAAATGAAAACACATTAATGATTGTTATAGTGTTTGAAATCTTTTTATAAAGAAAAATATTAAATGCATAAAATAATTGTATATATTTTTTTTTGAATAGTACTTAAAATAATAGTTTATGATAAAAATAATTTTTAGATATTTAAAAAATAATATCTTATATATATACATGTGTACTTAACTTTTCGTAAAGTTCATCCCCGTAGCGACAGTTACAGGTCCGAGGTTGTAACTATACTAACGACTAAAAAGGTTTCCTATTTGTGTTTGTAATTTTTGTTAATGTTATTGTTTTTGTTATTATTTTGTTTTCATCGTTATCACTGTTTTTTTTTTTTTTTATTGTCATTGTTGATACTATTATTTTTTTTTCTTTTTCATTGAATGTGATTTTATTTCGAAAGCTAAATACAAAAAAAAATGAAAAGAATTTATGACGAAAATGATCTAATTGTGAGATTGTATTTGCCTTCTATTATTATTTATAGTGTGAAACTAGAAAAAATAAAAACACAATATTTTAGTCACTAAATCGCATTGGAAAATTAATAATAATATAAGAGATAATAGTAAAAATAATTTCACATTGCTCCCCTGGAACAAAAAAAATGTATTTAACTATTTTTTGCACTAAGCCATGGGAAACAAGGGAATTTTTTCAGTTTTTAAGGTAATTTATTTTTTACTATGCCAAATTTTCTTCAAATCTTAAACTTTAAAATAGTTAAAATAACAGTTTATTTCAGTGGCGGTTCGTGGGTGCTGGTGGCGGGGGTGCGACTTTAAATATAATTCCGCTAGTCATAGGTATAAATAATTGTCAAATTAAATATAATAAAATAAAACACAATACACATATTATTTTAAATGTCGCAGTAAAAAATAGAAATTGAAATATTAATAATAGCGTTTATACTATTATAGCAATCGACAACGCGATCGTACACGCAGTTAGTTCTAAAAATAAATTACCAATATTTGGACGACGCTGCCGGTCGTCCAAAACCCGTACATAAGATTGCAGCTAAACCGTACCCGCCGCACACGATTGGGGGGGCGCCCATTTTATATTATATGTTTCAAAATATTGTTCGGACGACGCTGTCGGTCGTCCAAACACTGCTCGTGTGTAAATGCACCCACACATTAGTTACTATAGCGGTGCATATAGTAAGGGAAACAACTTAAATGATCGCACACTACATATGCGTAACAACTATTTTACTATTTAAAATTTGCATTTTTAATAAAAATCTAGAGTTAAGTATGTACAATTACTTTTCTTCTTTTAATTAATTTTAGTAGGGGGTGCGATCGTCCCTTCGTCCAAGCCACGAGCCGCCACCGATTTATTTATTTATCACCTTTAGTATATAATATATATATATAATAAAAATATATTATATTTTTGTATGATTACGACACAATATGTTATCGACACATGATTCATTTTAACTAATAAATATTGTTGGTATTTAGCTTAAAATTAATGTTTTTTTATAATATAAAAAACATGCATGTTATACGTGTTTTTTTTCTTTCTGGCCATATTAAATCCAAAATTA